GGGGGGAGAGGGGGAGAGAGACAGAGAGAAGAGAGGAGGCTGAGAGAGAGAGAGAGAGAGAGAGAGAGAGAGAGAGAGAGAGAGAGAGAGACATACACACGCACGAACAAGCAAACATACAAACACACAAACAGTCAAACAGTCCTTCGACAAAATGTGCATGCAAGGTCACTGACCTCTTGCCATAATCTGTTGGCACACCATGCCCATCATCTGCAGCACAGAGTTGATCATCTTCCTGGTAATCAGGATCTGTGTGCCCTCTCCGCACGCCTTATCCTGCCTCATAATGCACTGGCCTACCGAGGCGCTACTCCTAGAAGCAGGAAGAGAAGAAATAAAATTAAAAAAACAGTACAAGTTTAACTCCATTGACATACTTTATTCAACTTTGAACTACTCCGATATCGTGAGGTGGCGGAGCGGTTAGTGCGCGCGTCTCCGAAGTGGAAAGTCCGACTCGAGCCTCGGTTTGGACACGGATTTTTTTCGCCCCCTCCTGTCCACCCAGCAGTAATGGGTACCTGACATCGAGTTGGGGAAGTAAAGGCGGTGTGGAAAGGAACTGGCCTCCCTACCACAATATGCCGAAGGCCCGGGAAGTTGTCTCACTGGCAAGGCAATACCCAATGTCCGGATCGGATGTGAGAACAACTTTACTTTTTTTAAATGCGAAATCAAACGCAATGCTTCACGCGAGAATAATGTTCTGGAAGCAAAAACAGAAGGCAAGCGAGGAAGCTGGGGATCTCTAACAGACGATGGGAATATCTTAGACATAGTATCCGGGCTTGGAACCAACACACCTTAGGCGGGCAGAATGGTGAGGGACAGAGCTAAAAAGAAGAAGTCGAATCTGCTAGATTTGGTTAATGCAGAAAAATGGACGGGCAAGTGCCTATAATTTAGAGCCTTTATTATAACATTTTCACGATTCAGTTCAAGGCACAATGAATGCTCATTGTTAGTTTGTTTATTTTTGTAGTAGCTGAAGTAACTGCTGCATAAGGGACGTGTTAGGTCACATGAAAGGAAATTGCTTTATGACCTTTGTGGCTAAATGGGCTGAGAGATAGATTCAAAGAAAGACAAAGGTTTTTTAAACAGGCAGGAGGGTTTTGTAATTTCTAGCAGATCGTTCACGCTTCATGGATAGGGTGTTCAGAATAGATTGATATTTACGAAAACTAGCATCGAAGTAGGTGGTGTCAACAATTTGAAGATTACAGTTTACTGTTTAGATAATTTTATTATTTATGTTATTTTAGTCCCCTGCTGTTATCCCAGCACCCCAAAAACTGATGCCAAAAGATATTTCACTGTTTCTCAAGGGCACACGCTAGTGACCACCCATCTATGTTTTGTTTTTAAAAATACGAGTCACTCACACACACACACTTGACATCATGCTGCCGTGCTCAATAACCCCGCAGCCGTGGGAGCCGCATCCCTTCCCCCCCCCCCCAACCCCCCCCCCCCCCCCCCCTCTTTTACACTCCAAACCTATACATCCAAACAGAAGATGCATAAGCAAATACAATGAATGAATTGATAAATGAATAAATGAATGAGGAAATAAATACAAAATGTAAAAATAAATATGAATAGATAAATAAAAAATGAACAAATGAATAGATAAATGAAAAGAAAGAAAGAAAGAAGGAAGGAAAGAAAGAAAGGAAGGAAGAAAGTAAATGAATGAATAAATACATGAATAAATAAATAAATGAATAAATGAATAAACAAATAAATAAATAAATATATAAAATAAATAACGTGTTGACTTACGTCTTTGAGAAACCCCAGCGAAGGGATGAGTGCCCTGTGGATCACGTGACTGGTGACCGTTACTGAGCTGGTGGACGAGGGCGACTACAGCCGGGCCTGGAATGTTCTGCTGGGGGCCGCTGTGGGAAGGACAGACATGCGGGGTTTTTTGTTACATAATACTAATACATGTAATAGATATCATTTGTATAGCGCATATCCCCGCTCAACAGCAAGCTCTATGCGCTTCACAATCTATATTATTACCGCTACAGACTTCAAAGCATTCTGAAACAACCTCAACTTCCTGGGAACCATACCGTGCAAGCAGCCATTTATAGGCGCTAAAACATTAACATACTGACAATATCTTTCGCTGTCTATGGCCGGGTACCCATTCCCACCAGGGTGAAGTGAAGAAAATTCGTGTAAAGTGCCTGTCCCAAGAACACAACGTCGTGCCCGCGGCTCGAGCCCCTGAACCCGTAACCTCACGATTACGAGTCCGGTAGCCTAACCACTAGTTGCTGTTTTTGGGGGGGGTAAGTGTTTTACGGCGCTCACAAATGCATACGGTCATATGAGTGCCGGGACACATTTGACATTTTTTAGCTGGTAGGGAATTTTTTAATTTTTCCCGGGTGGCGGCCGAAGCCTGCTCTTATTGATTTTGGACCACCAAGAGATCTTGCTCACGGGGGCTCCCAGATGTTTTGCCCTTATCCGAGAAGGCTAGGTGTTAGATCTTACCTACTATAAGATCAGAGGTGTGGCTGAAAGACAGCAGTAAGAAGTGGCCAAAGAGTAGCAGCAGAAAGGCTCCAGAAAGAATCAGGACCCCTGAGAAGGGGACAAGGAGGTGAGGGGGTGGGGGCAGAAAGCAAGCGACGAAATATTGTTAGAGAGCAGGAAAGAATGTAAAAGGAATACATTTTAAAGAAGAAAACTGTGGAAGGTCCGGATTCGAACCCGAGACTTATTGAATGAAAGGCGCACGTCTTGACCTCTAGACCACGTTGTTAATGGTTGTTATTCTCTATTTTGACTTGGCGTGATAGTATCCACTCAGTTGAAGATCATTGATTTGATCATAATCTTTTGAAGGAAAACTTTTCCAAAATCCGCACCTGCTCTGCCAGGCGCCCTTTAAAACAATTACCTTTTTAAAGTAGCATGCTTAGATCATTGTATCCCTTTCAGCATTGCTACCAAATTGAGACTTCCTTTTTATTCAACCGAACTTGAGCGCTTCGTATTTTTTACTGTATATTTGATTTTCATTCTGAACATTGCCCAGGAACTCCCTTGTAGAAATAATTAACTTGTTGTGCTTGGGGGGGGGGGGGGGGGG